AGGCCGCACCTGGAATACTGCGTCCAGTTTTGGGACCCTCAACACAAGAAGGACATTGAGGTGCTGGAATGTGTTCAGAAAAGGGCAACGAAGCTGGTGAAGGGTCTGGAGCACAGGTCTTATGAGGAGCGGCTGAGGGAACTGGGGTTGTTTAGTCTGGAGAAGAGGAGGCTGAGAGGAGACCTTATCGCTCTCTACAACTCCCTGAAAGGAGGTTGTAGTGACGTGGGTGTTGGTCTCTTCTCCCAAGTAGCTAGCAATAGGACGAGAGGAAATGGGCTCAAGCTGTGCCAGGGGAGGTTTAGATTGGAAATTAGGAAAAATTTCTTCATGGAAAGGGTAGTCAAGCATTGGAACAGGCTGCCCAGAGAGATGGTGGAGTCACCATCCCTGGAAGCGTTCAAAAAATGGGTAGACGTGGCACTTGGGGACATGGTTTAGTGGACATGGTGGTGTTGGGTTGATGATTGGAATGATGATCTTAGAGATCCTTTCCAATCTTAATGATTCCTAGTTTTCACTTTCATTATAAATAATCCATCCACAAAGCCAGGAAACATGACATTATTACTCTACCCTTAACTGGTTTAGCGGTGGATTTGGTAATGTTAGGTTAATGGTTGGACTGGATGATCTTAAAGGTCTTTTCCAACCTAAATGATTCTGTGATTCTATGATTCTATTATACGTCAGTCCTCTTGAAGACCAATTGCTTATGTAGGAGAGGAGCTAATAAAAGAATGTGACAATGCACTCAAACAGAGAAGGAAGTTTTGCTTTGAGGCTTCCCTTTACTTGCAAAAGGCTAATAAAATATAACTTGACCATAAATTAACTTATTGCCATAACCAAAGGAGCCCAGGCCAACTTGTTGCACACCCTAAAATTTGATGTCAGTATTTCAGCCGCATCTACATAAGTTATAAGCTGAAGAGGACACTGACAAAAGCATTTGGGTACAAAACTAGAGGCTGATTATGTGCATATCAATCTGATCTTTAATACCTGTGCAATCAATCTTAGGACTACATCATAATCGGAGCTGTTGCTGAGAAGGAGCTTGCGCAGCAAGCGATGAGTTGTTATCAAACAGTATTTTAGACTGCATATTCCTAATTCTAACTATCAATGCAAAAGGGATCTCTCAGGATTAGAGGGCATCTTTTAAAAGGCATGGATATGCCAATATTTATGGAGTTACAGAAAAACATCTTCAGAACAAAGTAGGATTTAGAAGTAAATAGGAGTGCATCTAGATATTGAAAAAAATATAAACAGGCTCTAGAAGATTTGGGTTTAGATGGTAGGCATAGATTTATCTTAGTTGCCTGAAAAACATCTAGGAACATTTGCTAATGCTTTATTCTGTGTCTTCCAAATAGGTTTTTCTTGAAAATAGATCAGGTAAACATAGGATGATACATACCAAACCTCTTTTCTTTAGACATGGCACCTCATATAGGAATATCCAAGGATGAGCCATTATAGTACTTTGAGTTTAAGCAGGTCTCAGTGTACAGGATTTTTGCTCACAAGTGCTCATCCTAATCATGTCTGTGGACAGTCGAGAGAAGCAACAGCTTCAATATGGTAAGACTGCTAATTAAAATGTCATCAAATCAGACTTTGGCAACTATTTATAAGTGATAAATGAAAGAAAGGTACCTATGATACCTGGTGATACCATGTTCGGAAGAACATTGAAAAAAAAGGATGCCAGTGCTACAAACTGCTGATAGTTACAGGAAATGTGCAGGTAATGAGGAGAAAAATGAAAGAAAATTAAAAGCTTGGTGTGGTTTTGCAGTGCATGGAGCTGTCACCATGTCACATAGGTGACAATGTCTCTGATGAGCCACAGCAGTGACAAAGAATTCTGCTATCTCTAAAAATAGCTCCACATCTGCCTTCTTCAGAGAAATCACCAACAATTACCCTCTGTCCCAGAAGGGAGGGCAATGCCAAATTTGAGCCAGCTGTCTGTACAAGGTCTTCTACAGGTAAAACTCACATCAGGCTGGACCAACTGAGCTCAAAGATGTGACATCGCCAGAATGCAGAAGGTTTCTGCAGGATGACTGTGGAGCTCAAGTCTTCAAGCAACCTTCCAGGCTGTGCAGTAGTGACACTTCACCAAATGTACCTAGTTAGTTAATAGAATATTTGATATTCCAAATTATTTAATACTGATGGAAGTTATTTCTATTATTTGGGTATATGTTTAGAAGTGAGGAACTGTGCCTTTACAAGGCTCAATAAGATTTATTCAGTTTTCAGGACTCAATTCAGTTGCCTAAAACGAGGCATTTAGTGACATTTGAGATGTCCTGGGTTTCCCAGACATGGGCACAGGACTGGCAAATCTGACATAGCATCTACAGAAGACCCATGGTCTTCTGCACCAGGAGGCAGATCTAAGACACCTTAAGACACTTTAAATGGCATTATACCCTTAGCTCTAGGCCACTGAACCACAGTCAGTGCTATATAAATGCTCATGCAGTGCAAAGCTAATGAGGTAGGATCAGATGCTGAAAGGAGCAAACATGAGATTCCTTGGCCCTGAGGGGCTCCTGAACAGCACAGATAACCCTCTAATGGGGAATGGCCTGTGATTCATCTCTGACCTGGAGGCCACCTGGGGTGTCTAGAATGAAACTATATACCTTTATGTGGGCAACTGAATCAAGCCTAAATTTATGTGAGCTGAGTCCCACGGTGTAATTGTACACATAGTGGCTTGCAGGGTTTCACCGCAGTACTCATAATCAGCTCTCTGCAAATGCTACAGCGAGAACATGAAGGGGGGGCAGATCCTGTCTTCACACCACAACAGATGACGCAATTTCTCACGAACACGTCTGCTGTAAGCTACATTGTTGGCGAGGTTTTTTTTTTCCTTTCTCACAGTTACAAATGTCAAATATCCTTAAGAGGAAAGACAAAACCCACATCCTTTTCATTTAGATATATATGTTAAACAGTGAATAACGGGGAACACCAGACAGAAATCATGGGAGCTTTCCTCACTTTGTCCACCTCTGCTGCTGTCATTCTCCTGGTAATTCGTGGAGGTAAGTGCCCCGTTTGATCCTTTTGAAGGTAAATGCTGAACCTACAGAGTTTTAGTTAAGTCACCATGTATTAATGTAAAGGAAGTAGTCAGAATTATTGAGTTCTTATTGCTAGCTCTTTTCCACTGTCTGCATGTGTTTCATCTTTCATACAAACAAAATAATTTCTGAATGGGTAACATTAATTTAAGCTGCACAGAGGACAGACTATTTGGAAGAGTTCAGAGGAGTTAACATAATAAATATCTGGCCTTTCTTTCCAGAGGCACAGAATAGATTAATCTCTTGATTTTTTGTTTTTCTAAAAAACAGGTTCATGTAATGTGACTTACATTATATAGCCCAGTTTCCATAAGTCACATATTGTACAACATTTATCATGTGGCAGATCTGAGGTTGTTACTCACAATGAAAGCTAAGAAATTAACCATAGGAGTGAAATTCAGGAAAAGAAATCTGTGCAAGAGTAACAATACTTTGGTGGTTTTCCTGTCAAAGCTCACCCAACTGATCTAATTTTGGTCCCATTGAAACACAGAATCAGGGAATCATAGAATGGTTTGGGTTGGAAGGGACCTTAAATATCATCTAGTTCCAATGCCCCTGCCATGGGCAGGGATACCTTCCACAAGATCAGGTTGCTCAAAGCCTTATCCAACCTGGCCTTGAACCCTTCCAGGGATGAGACATCCACAACTTCTCTAGGCAGCCAGTGCCTCACCACCCTCACAGTGAAGAATTCCTTCCTTACATCTAGACTAAATCTACCCTCTTTCAGTCTACAGCCAGTACCCCTTGTCCTATTACTACATGCCACTCTAAAAAGTCCCTCTACAGCTTTCTTGTAGGCTCCCTTCAGGTACTGGAAGGCTGCTACAAGGTCTTCCTGGAGCCTTCTCTTCTCCAGGCTGATCCCCAACTCTCTCAGCCTGTCTTCATAGGGGAGGTGCTCCGGCCCTCTGATCATCTTCGTGACCCTCCTCTGGACTTGCTCCAGCAGCTCCAAACATACAGAAATAGTACTGCTGAGCAATTTTAAAAGTATACCCTGAAGACCAGCATTGTGACATATGTACATATTTGTATGTCTGTGTACTTTGTAATTACATTAACTGTTCTTTCTAAGAGACTTTGAGTGTCTTACAGTATTTTTTAGCCCAGCTGTGTGTACTGTGGTTTATTTTTATTTTTAGGTTTGTGTGTGGATATTATTGGAGGAAATGAAGTAGCACCACACTCGAGACCATTTATGGCCCTAATCAATGGAGCAAAAGGAAAACCTGTTTGTGGGGGAGCTTTGATCAAGGAAAACTGGGTATTAACAGCTGCCCACTGTAATGTGTAAGTTCTTACCCTGATTCAGAGATTGTCCTTATATCTGGTGTCTCTGTTCAAGAAGAAGAGATAATATCCCTGGTGGTTTTATGCATTTAGCATGAGAATGATCATGTTCTGATTACTGTGTTTTATAATTTATATTGACAAATGTGCTTCAGTGATTAAAAATAATATAAAAAGGTATATTGATCTTCACTGTTTCTGAAGTAGTATTTTACAAGCTTCTAGCTCCATGCAAGCACAGAATAGCAACACTGAAGTAGTGGATTTGGGGGAAAGGTTTATCCCTGTTTTCTCAGTCAACAAATGCACTAGGCCAGAGGACTGGCCAGTCTAAATAACTGCTCAGAAAACAGAAATAAATTGTTGTCATTTTATTCTGTAGAAGATATGCAGTTCACCACAGAAACAGCATGCAGGTTTCCAGGAGCAAAAATCCTCCAGACAGATGACAGGAGACACAGACATCTCTGCTCTACTGGATACGTTGGTTTGTCAGCCAACCTTTCTTTTTCCTGTCTGACTCAAGACATAAATGGATATTTGGCCCCACAGAGTCCCTCAGCAAGGCAAGATGTGAGGTTTAAATGACATGTCCTACCCCTTGCCTTTGGAGGGAGGACTGGAGCTGGTGCTGAGCCAAACCTCAGAAAGGCTCTGTCAATGCCTGCCCAGGACCAGTGTATCACTGGACTCTGAAGACATCAGAGAAATGTATCTCTCTCTCCTGCCCCTTTCCAAACAGGGAGATATATGGGACCTACTGCAAAGAGAGTATAGGACACAAAAGCCATCTTATTAACATAAGGTAAAGAGTGTTTCCAAACAAGATCACATTTACAAGAAAATACAATAAATAATTAACCTAACGTTGCTCAGTCAACAGTCAGACAGCTCTTAACAGCTGAAGGAAAGGAGCAATCACTTCCTCAGGGTTCTGTTTGCTGCAGTAAGTTACAAATGAGGACCAGCCAACACATCTGCTCAACGAATCCTCTCCCATTCAGCTGTAACATACATTGTTCTCCCACAAACAGCTCTACCCATGGTCTGACATAAAGGTCTGCTTGGACTGCTTGACCAAGGAGTGCTAGACTCCTGGTTTCTACACCAGAGAGCCCCAGCAGGCACAACTTCACAAGTGGTGACCCACTTCAGTATCTAGTAAGTATATGAAGTTGCAGAACAAGGGAGAGAAAGGGAATGACCTATGTCTCACATGGACTCAGAAAATGGTGTTGAAATGGTGTTAGGGCAAAGCAATGGTACAATTCAGTCCACTTGTGATGATCTCTGAACTAACAGTGCTGCAAGATATTCTCCTAAATTTTCAGCACAAATTGCAGAGGGCACAGTTGGTGAGACCACTACCAACAGCAAAGCATATGCATCCACCCCTCGTTCAGTTCCCAAAGGGAAACAATAGGTGTAGGTTCAGAGTCAAGTACCTGAACCCTGTCTATGCTCCTGGGAAGCTGAAAATAGGATAGCATTAATTTTGATTCACTGAGTCAATTTTTTTTAACTACTTGTAAAAAAAGGTAATCTTTTATACTTTTCTAAATTACTTTTGCTTTTCAGGCATGAGAAAAGAGACCCTCTAGCAGCTTGGACATTATAGCACCACATTTAACAGCAAAGAATTACGGAATTACAGCAAGTTAATCCCACTAACCATGTTGTCTCTCTTCTCAGGGAAAGATGCAAAGTTATTCTTGGAGCTCATTCGCAGACAGCAAAAGAAAAGGAAAAACAAGTTTTTCGGATTGCAAAACAAATTCGCTACCCATGCTACTGTCGCAGTTGTAAGGAATATGACATTATGCTGCTGCAGGTATAGACTTACACATCACTTATGGAATATGCATCTCCTACGATGTACCCGTTTCTTCCCTCTTGTGAGGGAGATGAGCCAAGGCAGTTTCTGGTGACTTTTTTTCTGGGTGATACAGTCTGGTCTGGTAATCCAGCAGACTGGGGAACTGGGGATGCACTGGGTACTAAGGCAATCAATAATTCCTATAATGTATGCCAATGCTAGAAGTAGAAAAATTCTGGAGCTTGGCCAAGATATTTCAATTTCTGGCTTTTCAGTGAAAGAATAAAGATTGCCCACAACAGAAGCATATTTCACAGGTAGAAATAATTTGGTTAAGAACCCTAATGTTCTATCTGAAAAACAGTTCTACTTAAAAAGTTCTGACTTCTCCAATTCTCAGTTTTGCCAGCTTCAGTGATTATTCTTATTTTGTCCTCCCAATGGTTTGAGAGCCAGAGAAGTAAAATAGGGTGTTTTTTAGAGCTAATATTTCAGCAGAAGTTTTTGTGAGACAAAGAATACTCATTTTCCTCATTCTTACACTGATTACATAAATTCTGTCTCAAAGAACTGAGGAATCTCAGGAAGGGGTTGCAGTAATCCCACATTACCATAATGGAAAAGATCCAACGGTTAACATGCAGGTGCCTCTGTTAGGCTCTGCCTTGTAATAACTATTTTCCATATCTTCTACAGCTTCACAAAAGAGCAAAACTTAACAAAGCTGTGCAACTCATTCCCCTGCCTACCTCAGATGATGATCCCAAACCGGGAACAACTTGCGCAGTAGCAGGATGGGGACAAACTCACAATCAACACAGACAGCTTTCTGACACCCTGAGGGAGGTCAATATCACTGTCATCAGTAGGCAAATCTGCAATGACAACAATCACTATAAAAACAACCCTGTTATAACAGACAACATGATATGTGCAGGCGCTAAGAATGGAGGAAAGGACTCATGTTCTGTAAGTATATTTACTGTCTATATCCACATAGATTGGATTAAAAATAAGATATAAAGTACTAACTTTTACACATTTATAATTTCTGCGTCTCTTCAGTTCAATGAAGAATTTTACTAAAAATGAGTAAATTTACCTAGGCTTGTTCTTCTAAGCCTTAAAATCAAGGCTCCAAACTTAAAAATTCTGATTGATAAATTCACCTTCACAGACTTTGGATACTGTGGTTTTACCCAAGCATGGCACATAGCTATTCTCCTCTTCAATAAAATGCTTTTTAATAGAAAAATCTCCACAAAAGAGCTTATGAGCCCATACTCAAGAACCTAAACTCAGTGGAACAACTTCTCTGATGTCAGAAGGTTTTGAAATAGATTTTGATGATAAAAATCATTTTGACCGGGCCCCAAGTCAAATGCACAACTGTGTAAGTACTACCATGTTTTGAAAGGTTTAAATATTGAATTAATGAAGTTACAAAAAAGGTATGACTTTCTAGAGACTTTCTGCTTTTCAAGAGGAAAGTTTCCAGCTTTTTCCTTTCATATTCAAAACACTAACTATTCCTTAGCCCTGAGCTAGATTCATTCCCCATTACTGACACCTGAATTAAAGTCTTTTTTTCTTTTTTGCTAATGAAAATCCTACCTTCCAAGGATGAAAAAAAGGAAATCCACAATAGCACTGTCTACATTATTATTTCCTCCATGCAAATGGTGCAAATTTTATTTTAAAGAAGCATTTTTTAGCTTTTGTAAAGTTGAATGACTTTTTTTTCCCCTTTTTTTCCAGGGGGATTCTGGCGGACCTTTAAGATGCAATAATGTGATGAGAGGCATCACTGCTTTTGGGAAGGCAAACAAGTGTGGTGCTGTTGATGGCCCTGGGGTCTACACTCGACTCACAACGCAATACCTTCAGTGGATAAGGAAAACCATAGGGGGAGACTAATAGATTGGGTTTTGACCAAGTGATTTCCTACTTCCTTACTTGTGTAACAATATCTAATTTGAAATACGCTTTTAAAAATAGCTTCATTACACTGGTAAAATAGGTATTCCCATGCTGAGTTTTAGCAGCTTGATGTCCTTATTGATGAAAATACGTATGTCTGTTTTCAGGGCAGGTGTGATCTTAACAGGGCCAGAACACAGTGCTCTGCTACAACAGCATTTGTAGCTTACACGCTCAGCCATGGAGTCCTTAGATGGGTATTTGTGATACAGGTTTCCAGCATTCTTGCATTGCACATTCAGACAGAGCTCTACACAGATGAGTATTTCTGACCAAGAATCTAATCCAGCTGTTTGTATCCTCACTGCATGCTGTGTATATACTGCACTCTTCTGTATCTGGACTTCTACAAATAACCCTGAAAGTTAGTGAGGTGCTAGGTACAACTCCAGACACCTGAAAAATTTGGTAGTTTCTCCACAGCAGAGCAGGAGCAGATTTCACAGGTGTAGGGGACAGCTGAGCTTCAGAAGATTAAGTTTGACCAACTGCATTTGATTGTGGGACATAATAAGTGTGCATTCCCTAACTATTTGTAACCTCTAGATTTCATCCCTTTATGTACTTTGCGTTTAATAAAGATATGGCAATAAAAATCTACTGCTTGCAGCTGTCAATTTATGTGGAAAGCTCCATCTGTTGCAGTACAGATAGTCTGTGTACATAATGTTTTGGATGTGCAATATGTTTGCAGAATGCAGCAAGATCTAACATTATGTTAAAAAATCAGCTGAAAACCCATCCTCCAGAGAAATGACAGAATGTGTCTCAGCTGGAGTATCAGTACATAAAGTGCTGTTCATAACATAAAACAATCTTAATTTTATGATGCCACTACTGCTGTTTCAGATATGCAGTGAAATTTTTAAGTGTTTTGACAACCACTTGTCAAACAGCAAACAGACCTATTGCGAAAAATGCTTCTGCCCATCTCTGTATTAACAGTCTTGGGCACTTTCAATGCCATGAACACCTCAAACAGGCCTTGATTTTATTTCTACAGAAATAATGAAGGGTGAAGGAAGGACAAGGGGACAAGGCCTGAACTACAGGGGTCTTTACTGAAAGTTTTGATGCTGAACATCTTTTATGTTTCCTGTCCTTTAAAAATGTTACACAGTCAGAACTTTTCACATTCCTTACTCTTCTTCCTAAAATGTTTGTTCTGACTCTTGGGCTGAACACACAAACAAGCACACACACACAGACACAGAGGCACACACAAACACAGAAGCAAAGCAAGAGCAGAGAGAATTCTCAGCCAAGTAAGACTGCATCAGTGAAACTGAGAGGAGAATTTGGCCCACTGACTGGTACTGACACCCAAAGTGTTGACTTTGATTCTGTCTTTAATCACACAGGAAACAAGTAAGACAAGTCCAGACTTTTTCTATTCTTGCAAACTACCAAACCCTTGCTTAGGAAAGAACCGATTCTAAAAACATTTGGAGAACAAAAATATCCTTGTCAATCTAGTGAAAAACCTGTAGCTGATCTTCAAGACAACTGATCACCTAGGGCTATTTCACTCTTCCCATACATTAGTCGTACTTAATTTCTTTCCTCTTTGCCCATTTTTTCACTGTCGCTCTTTCATCCTGCTATAGTATTTTTATCATGTTACTGCTTCTTCTTTTGTCTGCTTCTTCCTCTTCCCTGGAAGTCACAGGCAGCATCCTTGTCAGTGCAAAATCCCACACAAAGCCTATCATTCGGTATTTCTCCATTTTTCAGACACAGTTCTGACCCAAGTGGGGTCAGAAGGAAGGAGAGGTTCTGACCAAGGAGAAGTTTACAATGCATGAAGAAATGTGCAAGAACAAATGTGCAGCCTTCCTCCTGTAACTTGAAATTTAGGATCTACCCCAACATACTTTAAAAACTTGGGTTTTTACATGACTGTTACTTAGTGAATAGTGCAAAATGAGGCAGTGGAACTGGACTTACATGGTAAACAAAAAATTCAAGCCTCTGTCACCACTGCCAGTAGCAGAAACCTGGGGAAAAAAGCAGAAGCAAGGAGATGGAACTGAATTTTCATCAAGGCTGGGACTTTCTCTGATCAAGAGGCATGAACCCATTCCCAATACAGCTCCACCACTATGGAATGGAGCCCATGCAAGTTTATGTACTAGCTAAGAAAAATGGTATGATCATTCAACGTCATTTTGACATCTAGAATGTAACAATTCCTTCTCCCCATGGGTATATGTCATGGTTTAACCCTAGTCAGTAACTAAGCACCACACAGCAGCTCACTCACCCACCCTCTCCCCAGTGGGATGGGGGAGAAAATTGGAAGGAAAAAAAAAAACCCTGTGGGTTGAGATAAAGGCAGTTTAATAGGACAGCAGAGGAAGACAAAATAATAATAATAATGATAAAAGAATACACAAAGCAAGTGATACACAATGCAATTGCTCACCACCCGCAGACCGATGCCCAGACAGTCCCTGAGCAGCGATCGCTGCTCCCCAGCCAACTCCCCCCAGTTTATATACTGAGCATGACGTCATATGGTATGGAATAGCCTTTTGGTCGGATTGGATCAACTATTCCGGCTGTGCCCCCTCCCAGATTCTTGTGCACCTGGCAGAGGATTGGAAGCTGGAAAGTCCTTGACTAGTGTAAGCACTGCTTAGCAACAACTAAAACATCAGCATGTTATCAGCATTATTTTCACACTAAATCCAAAACACAGCACTATGCCAGCTACTAGGAAGTACCTATTAACTCTATCCCAGCAAAAACCAGGACTGTATACGAGATAACTGGGAGAAATGAAAAGGTATAAACTGTATTACACAAACTAATGCAACATTTTTGTAGGTAGCATCAAGTCAGATAACACAGTGGCTGAAGAACAGTGGACTGTCTGCTAGAGACTATTTAGTGCATGTATGTGCAGAAACAAAAGGATTTCCCAGCCTGAGTTTCTTTAATCCATTTCATTGCATTACAGAGACAATCACTTTGTCATATTGGTCTACCTGGGAAGATACATGCCCTGTATGGGCAATAAAGTTTTTCCTCTTATAAAAATTATTTTTCTCCTGAAGTTTCGGATTCCATGTGTTGTACAGTGCTTGACCTTGGACAGGATTGTAGAGATGCGGGCCTGAATTTAGGCAACTTAAATTTTACTTAATCCTGTGTGCCACATGTGGAGACTCAGCCTTTAGTGAGTACAGACCACAGGTCCAAACAAGCTGACCTCTTAGAAATGGGTTCTGATTTCTGTCTCAGTCTGGGCCTGAATGATATACCAGGCATGTAAGAGGCAATGAGCTAAAAATATGCCATATTATACAGGGAGGAAGTCAGGATTTTGCATTTTGCCCAAGACTTCATATGTTAAGACCTTTGCACTGGCAGAATGAGGCAGCTATGCAAGAACAATCATCTACTTTCAGCAACTGCACACTCTATACCTGCAAGTATTCAGCAACATTACCTGCAAAAGATTAGTGAAGCAGAATCGTGCTGCTTACTGAAGTCCTCAGATTCCTATTACAGAAAGATATTTGCCATGTGAAAGAAACTGATAGTAAAGGAGTCTATCTAGAAAAGAAGCACATCCAGAAAAGTCACCCTAGTATATGTTTAATTTCACTCTAGATTAGTCACAGTCTGGAATTTAAATGCATGCTTAAGTGCTTTCTCAGACATTGCCACAGAATACAGTTACAGGTCACACATACAAGATTCTCTCATATTTATGGGCTGTTGGTTGGTTCTGCTGAAATCAGTGATTTCTCCCACTTTTAGATAGTACGTTAAAATACTTCTGGGGCAATACAGCTTGACCACTCAATAATGAACAAGCATAATTAACTAAGAAATGAGCACTTCAGTCTGAAAGAAATATATTTTCTTATTTTGACAGTTGAGCATCCAGCAAAATATGCTTAGCTTCAATATTGACCACCTCTTTCCCCACCACAGCCCCCCACCCTGTGTTATACATCTCTTCCTGTATTTGGCAAACCAATAGCATTTAGGTACTGTCAAAGGAAAGAGAGAGAATTTCTGGGAGAATCTAAAAAATATATGAGTAAAGAGACTAATTCCAGCACTTTTTTTCCCATTCAAAAGAGAAAAGATGTTTTTAACATTTTAAAAAAAACTTTTAAATTATTTAAAATACTATTTTAAGTATTTAAATCAGTTTCTAAATGTTTGGTAAAATCTGCTGCAACAAACACACTCATATGAGAAGACAGGCACAGTATTAAGTTATTGCCCATTCTTAGACATAAGCTTCTTGGCAGTCATTTCTCAATTGATAATCAACGTTCCCATTTTCTAACCTGTTTTGAACACCACAAGAGATGACGTCAGTAACCAGCAGTTTAGTGGCAGATTTATTGCAAATTAACATCTTACTAGGTTAGAAAGATAAGTGGTCTCAACCTCGCAGACCTAAAGTTAGCAACCACATGATTTATGAACAGCAGAAGATGAGGTTTTAAAAATCCTGAGAACTAAAGACATGACAGTTTCACATTCATTTCCAGAGATAACTTGTGCCCCTGTTAACTTCGCCTCTCTCTTTTCATGCATTTGATCACAGCTTAATTTTCCATGGCCTGACACTGCTCTACTGTCCTAATCTCCCATTCTTCCCCAGCTACAGAAAATATTCTAAATAAATTTCAAGAGGTAAAAAAATAAAATCCAAACCATATGAATTTCTGAGCTCACAGGGTTTTTAATATACAAATGCAGGAGCGAATCCTTACCCCGTGCCTCTTTTCATTCCTAATAATGAAAGCAAAGCTCTGAAAATATCTGTGGATAGAACATGTTTCAAATAGCACTACTGAGCTGCATCTGAATAGCATCTGAAGACCAATACTGACATCCTTAGTTAGCTGTTGACAGTGTATATATTTTACACGGGCAAACTTCTGTTAAAGTCGAAGAGGTTTGGTCCTTTTAAGCACTAAACAAAATTCATAAGAGGGTGACAGCTGCCAGGTTTGCTGACACCCAGAATTAAACTGGTACCCTTAAGGAATGAATGAACTGACTGTTGTGTTTGATCCAAACAACGTGCTTCTTTGACTATGTCCATCTGGCTTATTAACCAGTTGGTTACATAATTATGCATAATAATAGCATTATTATGCAAATATTTATTTTTTAATCATTGTCACACATAGTAGGTGGGTTTAAGGAAAGGAAATAATTCAAAATCCAATAAAAACAGTTTTCTAATTAAGCTAGTTATCATTACCCCTACAAAAACAATAAAGAATTCACAAGAAATCATTTACATTTAGTTACAGTTATATATTTAAGCTAGATCTCTAGAAATATTTAGACAGATTCTGTACCATGATCTGTATGATATATAGAACAATACAGTCCCCTGGACTGGTCTCTGCTGATCCTAGCCTTTGAATGATTCAAGGCAATTTACACAAATTGGCATGTGGTTCCCAATGGGGACGCTAAGATGATGTAAAATTACTTACAAGAATCACAGCTAAAAGCAGGACCTAAGACTTTATGCTGGCACTTGACACAAGGTGGATTCCATCCATGCTTGCTAGTTTAATGAAAATAAATATGGTGTTATTCTTCAGAGTTAGAATATTTTTCTAACTAAAAGTAAGAAAGACAAGCTACTAACATTTCACATGATGGACTGATGTGGAAAATTGCTTTCTCTTGAAAAAATTGTACTATCTTTTGCCATGTTTCCATTGGAAGGAACACACATATTTTGAATTATTGAATGGGCTAAATACATCTAATCACTTGCTTTCAAGGAAAAGAAGTCACAAGAATGAGCTCAAATAACCATTAGAAAAAGCCTTGCTGCTGTGCTTGCTCTCCCCAGACTCATGGCATTTCCACAGACAAGCTATCCCATCGGCCGCAACAGAAAAGAGCCTGCTCTCATCTGGGCTCAGGGCTATATGCAGGACTCTCCCTTTATGACCTGTAAAATAAATATATACAAAAAAAGGAAAGATACATCACAATTCTACACTGATTATGCCAGTCACTTTCACCACCCCCACTGACATTACGGCTTGTTCCACTTTTACTGTACCAGCAAAACATGCTGTACCAGCAAAACATGCTGCATACAATGTGGAAAGCTAGCATCATCCATAGAATATTTCCACATTAAGAAAGAGCTGAAGGCAGTATTTTCTTATGAGGGACCAGGCTTTAACTGCCAGGACTGCACCACATTGAGAAGACATTTCTGTCAAAGGAGAACATTGAACCTGAACACATTTACAACATCAGTCTCAACTGTGTTTGGTAACATGTCTCACTGCTGAGCATTCCCATCTGGCTGCACACTCCTTGCAGACAGTTTGCAGCTGATCCAACAATAATGAGATAGTGTCTCCAGCTGCTCAGTTATTACTGTTAAGGAGATCTTCTAACAGTGATCCCATTAAATAATTTATTGGAATTGCATATTGAGTTTGTCCGCAGTTGTAGAAAACTTCGGGAGTTGTAGTAAACTTAGTAAACACTGAAGGCCAGAAGTTACCTCAGTCTAGCAGCACAAAGAACGTACAAAACCTGGCTATACAAGAATCTCCCTCAGTAGAAGCAACTGAATTTGAACTGAAGGCAGAAGGAGTCTGGTACTAATCTGAGACTGTTGAGACCTGTATTTACCTCACTGCTCTGCCACAGACCTCCTGTATCATCTAGCACAGTGTCAATGCTAAGCAAACCCATGAGGTTTTTAGGCAGGGCGTGAGAAATTAGAAGGCTTTTTACTCTAAGTTACTGGCCATTAGCTTCTCTGGTTGGGTGAGTTACTGACAATCATATAGCTGAGCAAGTCACCCAAGGGTCAAAAAGAAACTTCTGAGACATAGTGTATCTCATCTAAAACAGACCAGATGAACCACATCCTAAAAGTGTGAAGGTATGAAGGAAGTCTTGGGTGACAAACTTCAATGAATGTAGGTGACCTATGTCCTCTCATCATCTGTACCTGAGTTCTCCATAAACACAAGGGGATACCACTTCTCTAGCTCAAAATAATTTTATGAGGATAAACATGTGAGGAACTGTAAAGGCCTCTGAAACTGTGGTACTTATCACAACGGTACCTGATGAAGATCCACAGGGCTGTTGCAGACGGACAGTCTGTCCTCACTTTGCAAAGCTGCTACAATGGCTCTCTGGAGCCACTGTGACTAAAAGCAAATATCTACTGTCCTGGTGCTGAGTTACATGTGACTTTCTGACTACAATTTTGACAACACCACTAAATTATTTCAGCAGAGATTAATTTTCAGGTTCTGCTCCTTCTTAAGTTATTGAAGTGTACATGATCTTTGTCAATACTTAAGACCATGAGTTTACAACTCAGTGAATTCTTTACATTGTCTCTGTTCAGTGTCTGTAACAACTCTGAAGGAAGAGCTGGGATTGTTGTATTTGGAGGCATTCAAAAATATCCACAACACTGACTGAAATTTGATTAATAATTTCAGTCAAAAGGAAGTGAAGGGGAATGGGGAGAAACCAGAATAGTTTAAATTATTAATTTCCATGTTTTCTGAGCAGAGTCTTCTGGTTTTATTTCTCTGTTTCAAGATCACATTCAGATATTTTTTAAAGCAATTATGTATTTTGTTTGCTTATATGTTTTCTTTGATCTACCACTTTTCTAAGGGGAGGGCATTTACATCCATCATTTTTTTCTAGTAAATTACTCAATAGCTCTACCAGAAGTATCTCAAAAATGGACTCACTGCTATAAAAAGGTTACCAGCTTTCAGTCATTATTCTGTTCTGAATATGCTCAGTAATAGGCAACCTCACATTACTGAAGTACTCAACAGTAGCTGACTGCTTCATGCTGAGGTCTTCAGCATCTTGCAGGAGGATTAAACAATGAGATTCAGTTATGATTTATCTTCATTTCTCTGGGTGTAAAATCTGTGTGGTTAAGGGTGTCTGAGGCTGACTTAGAACCATCTCACAATCATCCATCACAGTATTTTTTCTGAACATATTTTGATACATTGACAATTTCTTCAAACATTCAATTGCTTATAGTAAGGTATTAAGAGTCTTCATAAGCAGGAATATATATGTGTAACAATCACCTGGTCTTTTTGTTCATGAAAATTAGTTTCTCTTGCAGATAAGTAAACTGAATAGGAAACAGGATGACAAGCAACCCTCCAGCTTCACCAAATTACCAATGCATTTGACTAATATGGTAAATGTTTCACACCATACATTATTCTCAAAGGTAAGGTTAAATCTAGGTTTCATTTCGAATAGTATATTTAAGACTTAGAAAGATTTGAGAAACGTCAAGCTACAGTAGTTAAGACTAATGATCATGTCACTTTCCAGACCGTTTCTCAGAACATCACACATCATTACCTTAAGAGCTGTACATAAATGAGTAGGGATAAGGAAGGACAGGCAACACAGACAAGCAGCATCACACAAGGATAATGTGTAACCAGATCCACATAATGTCTCTGCTGTCCTCGCTCTTCTGTCCATCTTTGTTTTGACTCTCCTGTGCTTTTCTCTTACTCTTTCCTAGTGTCGAAGCCAAGTCCCTGGTTCCACCCAAGTCCCTGGTTCCAAGGGCAGCATCCCAGTATAGCTGGGATTTAATAAATCAGGAATTTAATAAATGCCTTCAAATGTAGCAATAGGGTACAAAATGTATTTGTAAATCTAAGTTGTCAGGTTAAAAATGAAAACTTCTTCGGCCATATCTTGTCAGTGAGTGTGAAAAAACAACCATACTTGGGAAAATGCAGCCAGTGCACAAATAATTTGTTATTTTCCTTTAACTTCAGATACTTCTATTGAATCACTTCAGTTAACAAGTGAAACAAGTAAAACTTAATGGATAGGAGTGACAGCAAGGACCAGAAACAAGAAGGCTTAATAGCAAGGAACAACTTTCATGTGTAGCGTAGCCCTACAGCGCCATGGAGCAATACAGAGCTGCAACGAGACTCCAGTTTCCTCTAGCTGTCAGCATGGTACAAGGGAAACATGCTGCACCACCTTGCTTCACCGCCAGAATCATTCATTAAAACCCAGACAGCTCTAAATAACACATGGAGACTTATTTCAAACATAATTTGGAATCTGTTTCAGAATCCTTCCATGATGAGCTGCAAAATCGAAGAGCTGCATCTACTTTGTGTCATCTAGAAGGCCGTCAGCCTAGAATATATTGGAAGCAACCTGACATTAGTACACTCACTCTAGGCCTAGTAAGCTTTAGGGGAAAGTGGAAATCCACATCCTGCACCTGGAATGGCCTTGGCAATTATAGGAGAGAATCCCATCATTAAAACCAAGGAATTTACAGAAGCAGCTTATACTATTATCTTAATAAGTCAACCTTTACAATCCCATGAATCAGGATTGTGCATATGAATGCATGTGTGCAGGCAAAGGGAGAATGTGTAGGTGACTGCTCTTTTAATTCTCTTTTTACATAAATGCATAAGGTATGCACTTGCAAAAACATAATTAGACAGATAGTTAACTGAAATAGTTAAAACTATTCACTGAAATACTTGCCATAGAGTTCTGATGAATTGGTAAGCATGGGATACTTCCATATTTTCATCTGATTTCCAGGAAGGCCTTGTCCAGTCATCAATTCACTGGTTTTGGGTAACCAGAGCAAGGAACAAATCTATTGTAATTTAAAATTCTCCTTTAGTTTTCAGAAAGGGTCAACATACACCATTCAGTAGATTTGAAATGTTATCTACAATGTTCAACAAGCTCCTGAGAAATAGTCCCAGCAGAATATTTACTTATTTAGAAGGATCGTTTCATTCCTTAAAACACTTCAAAGTATAGTTGCCTTATTGTCCTATCTAAATGTGGTAACAGCCTATCAGTATAAAACCAAAGCCCTTCAAACACATCCTCGGCTAAGCTGTAATAGCTCCAGAAAAATCAACATCTATGCTGCTTTACTCCAGCTGAGATCTGTTCTTCTGTCTCCTAATATTCGAACTCCAGAGACAGATGTTTGCCCTCTGACTCTTACACCTCTTCTCACCCCAGCACTCTGGGAATTTTCCCTTCCCCTCAACATTCTCTCCACATCAAGAGCTTTGGCCAAAACTATTATTGCCAGTAAGGACAAGATGATGAGAAGTGTCTGGCTCCAAGACCACCTCCTCTTCAATCACTTCTGTGTGGAGACAGAAGTGGTGAATGAGAAAAAACAAACTGCTTCTGAGTCCAATCACACAGTGCAGTGCCGAATGTAGCACAATTGCACATCCAGAGAAAATCCTGCTGTTCATCTAACCGCAGAGCCACCCTCAAAGTCAGTGGGAGTTTGCCAGATGAACACAGCTATACAAGGAGAGCATAGCCTAAGTATGCAGACATTTCATCATTTCACCTGAGAATCTGTAGCTGCACTTTGGATGATTTTCTCACGATTTATGTCCCAGACACGCAAAATCCCATCTTTCATTCCACCCCCTGTAGCAAGGACTTTGGACTGCCAAGGACACCAGTTCATAGCCTAAAAAAAAAAGAAAAAAGATGCCAGAACAGACTAGGAGGTTAGCTGCAAAAGCAGAGTAGTTTTTGCTTAAAATCCTACTTGGGAAAATGAACTGCAACAAGCACCCAGAATGTACACACACAGCAATGTAGGATCCCAAAACTCCAAATGCTGTTTCCCTTGCCATTGCCTCACAGCAGCCTACACTGTCCCACATATATGCATAAAACTCCAGCTTCTCTGCTTACCCTTCACAGGCCACAGACTCACACCTCAGTACCAGAAGAACCCAGCAGGATAGAGTCTTACTGCCTAAGCCAAGCCATCACAGAAGCCTAACCAATGTGACTTACAGGGCTTAGAAGAGACCTGGTTTCTTCTGAGGTATTTCCAGGATATGCCTAAGGCCCAGACTCTACGTGAAGAAAAGCTTCTAAGAACTCAGTTCCACCTGTTTCAATAAACTCCTCTGACCCTTTAACCCCAGCACTTCAGGATAGCCTCAGGCTCTTTCGGGAGGATAAGCAGCTTATAAATGCTGGACTCCCCTGCCTCTTATTGGTAATACCGGGCCTCTCTCCTGAACACAGTGGGACTTCAAAAAGATGAAGAATCTTAAATTGTCTCATTTCCAGTTTCCTACTTCAGATTATTTGCTACCAGCAATGACATGAAAATATGGGCAGAAAGGCAAAAGAAACCTCGTATTTAAATGAATTGCAGCAGAGAGAATTTTCCAAAACTCCAAAAATTGGAAGACCTTGTTTGTTAACTTGGAAGTATTGTGCCACCAAATTTTTCTGTGCAAGGCAGAGAGATAGAGGAGAAGGCTGTAAATTTTATTTCTATTTGGCATTATATTTACAAAGGCCTACTAATACAGTAAAATTTCCTAATCAAAGCCCTAGCAAAGTTATCTGTGACTTGGAACGAGGAGAACTGGTCTTAAAATTAACTGCATCTCAGACAGGGAGAAGAAACTAATAGATATCAATGAGATAATTTGAAAAATTCCCTAACTGTCCACATCCACAATGTGATTTCATGAGAGCAAATACAGAAAAGCAGACATCCCTTCTCCGTATACCTTAACTGCTGAGGAATGAGGTATGGTTTTCAGTGGCTGTGACTGCAATTTCACACCAGGGTCAGTAGCCCAGATATTCAATACACCATCACTAGACCCACTTGCCAGCAACTGGTTGGTTAGTGACCATTTCAGGCTGCAAATACTTTCTTTGTTTTGGCAAAGAGTCCCAACATGGTGCTGAGCAACCCGAACATCATGGTGATGAATAGATCCTAGTCGTGAACCACTGTAGATAAGAAAAGACAGCATGGGTTTAATGCTAAAGAAGACAAGCTGTATTATCACACTGATGTTTCTTCAGCGGTTTCCGAAGCAAACCACATCAGAGTGAAACGTGTCTGCACAACAACAGTATTTCAGTAAAAGGAAACACAAACCATCTATCAGAAGCACACCCTGACTGCAGACGTGGCTGACAGCAGAAAGGAGCTAAGCAGCTGCTCGGTTCAAGCCAGGCAGAATACCTGTTCTCTCTCATGGTTTTAATTTCCCTGAAGCTATGTTGCATTGTATGCCACTAATCTGTACTCTGTTCAACTGTCAAGCTATTTAATGTAAAATATTTCCTGTTCTTCATGAAAAAACATTTTGCAAGATGATTTTTGCCAAGGCCAGATACGACTCCATGCCCAACAAAGAGGCAGTGTAAAACTGCATTGCTCTGGAAGAGGACTTACTAGCGACTAAGCATGTTCTTTCATTCTGTCCCTTCCCTTGTCTCCTTTCTCCCTCCCACTTCCAGGCTTAAAGAAAATCTGCACAGCTTGACGCTGTTGCACTAATTGCCTGTTAGGAAATGTATGCATGGTTCTACAGCCAGCATCATCAGTCTACCAAAGGAAGGAAAAAAAACCCTGCCTGGAAGCACAACTACTGTTAGAGCTTTGCTCCCAGATATGGGTTTTACACATCAATAGTAGAGTTGAACTGAAAATACTGAAAATACCTTGCAGTATATTTTCTTTTCCCACCTTTCTAACGACATTGCCTACATTAAACCTATCACAAAACAGAAGAGCTTCCTGCTGGAATTCACACTTCCAACTATTATGGTAACACTGAAAAATCAACAAGTTCAATACCATCTTTCTGGGTATCTGAGAAACTGAGAAAAGCTATCTGACATTACTGCAGTAGACTAATTCAAGGCAATAATGACTGGAGACTTTTCCATACTGCAATCAGTCAGTTTTGTGTGTGCACTTTTAGAGCTTCCAAATCACTCAACTTGCATCTGAAAAAGCTTTGAGAGCCAGTGTGGAAAAGTCTCCAGCATCAAGGCTGTCTCTCCAACATTCTCCCCTCACCAGTAGGCTGGGCATGGACAAGATCTTGGGAGGGGACATAGCCAGGACAGCTGACCCAACCTGACCAAAGGGATATTCCACACCCTATGACATCTGCCCAGCAATAAAAGCTAAGAGAAGGGGGAGGGGCATTCGTTATTACGACATTTTTTTTCCAGAACAACTGCTATGCGTACTGAAGCCCTGCTTCCCTGGAAGTGGCTGGTCACGGCCTGCTGATAGGAAGTAGAGAATAAATCTTTGGTTTTTCTTGCTTCCACATGTGGCCTTTGCTTTTGCTTTATTAAACTGCCTTTATCTTGACCCCACGAGGTCTTTTTTCCATCTTATCTTCTCTCCCTCCCCATCCTGCTGAGGAGAGGAGTGATAGAGCAGCTTGGTGGGCACCTGATGCCCAGCCAAGGTCAACCCACCACACCAAGAGAAACAGAATTCAGTTGCCAGCATTGGCTTTATTAAGGTTTTCAGTAATTCTAGTGGTATGAGTGGGAAAGAACTAAGCTCCTAAGAATCCTGGCTGAAAGGACACTTCTCCACTTGGCATCCAAAGAAATCAGAATTATTTGCTTTTGACATGGAAGATGGCATTTGCTAAAGACAAAGAGAAGCCAACAAAATTTTTATGACAGATTAATTTATGGTACTGAAATTTATTTACAGGTTCATGATAATGTGGTGTTGGACCATTTTTAACCACAGAAATTAGTATATAATGCCCAAGTATCAATTGTCCACAGTGAAGTTTACTGTAAGAATGCTGCTCTTATTTTAGTAACAATGAATATTAACTCCACATCTGTTTTTCTACTTATACAGATATTTTAACTCTGCCAGAATGAACTGGTTAGTTTCAAACCTAGCAAGAGAAGTAAATGCTATCTCAACCTAATCTGTCAACCATAACTGTAGTTCACAGGTTCATGCTGAATTTTATCATCAGTTTCTACTCAGAGAGATCTGTAATTTAAGCTTCTGTTCTTTTCACTCCTTTGGCCAAGCTGAAATGCAAATTAAAACTAATGCTCACTGTAATAGGGTTATGCCACTTGGCACTGGCAGGATGTTCTAGCTGCATCCTTTTAACTTAACCCACCCAGCGTACCTACCTACTCCAGCAACAGCATTTTATTAATCAGTTGTTTATTTGGTATCCTTGTACCTCATTCCACCCAGCAGACCTAATACAATCAAAAGCCACAGCATCTTGTGAAATCAAAATAAAACTACCTCTAGTGTTCCTATCCAAAGATATTAGTTTCATTTTGAGTTTAACAGTAAAGTCAGTCCACCCTTGCTGTTATTTCTGCATTTAAGTAAAACAGAGGACTATCACATCATTTTAATATCGTAGAAGCATCCATCATAAACAAGTCTGCCCTCAGCCCCTTCAAGTCTGAGTCAAAGATCTGAAACAGAAAGTGGGAGGAAAAAAACACAAAAGCATACACTTGATCTTTCTCATCTGAGTCACCATATTGAAATGATTCCTAAATACAAAATATTCACCAGCTAGTGTAAAATTCACCCTTGGCAATGCAAAGGTCAACCACTTCAGTCCTCCTTGGGTTGTGGATAACAACGAGCTGGCCTTCCCTGGTAGATATTCAGCTAGAGAGGTGCGCAACTGTAACAGCTCTGTTTCACTGTGCCTCTGAAAAGCGAGATGCAGTCTTGCTATTAATGGAGGGGTAGTCTAAACTACATGCCCTCTCCCCAGCACCAGGCAGGCTATGATTTTTGGAATCCAGACACACTGGAGACAACACCATTGCAAGCTCAGGCTTTGCATAAAACCAGAGCCACAGCCTCCACATCCTAGTGAAATTCTGCAAGCGGTGACAGCTTTCTGGAAGGAGAGTAAGAAACAGAGACTAAAAAGGCAGGCCAAATCTCCTTTGGCTGCTTTCCTGCCACACAGTAAATCTATGATTTCTGAGATGGACGATAAGTAGAGGGACTGGATAAATCACCTTTGAGCAAAGCCAATGAAAAGAGTTAAAATGAGTGGGACATTTTTCCAAGTAAAAGCAGCAGAAGTCTTTCTGGGAATATACTATACCACTCACCTGCTCAGAATATAATGATTCCAGCTCAGAGCTCCAACTACAGACAGGTGACCAAACATATTTCTTAACCTCTTTTTGGTTTCAATGTCCCACAGCTGCCGATCCAAAATATACAAGAAATACAAACTTAACAACAACTTTCCAAAAAGGAAAAATATGTTTTTCTCTTCATTTGTTTGCAAGTAAGCCACTGCCCCGTTCTGATCTGGCATATGGACAACCTCAAAGCTCATTTACTTCACAATTAAGACAAGAAGGAGTATTACCAAATTTTGGCACCTATATCAGTGATGCTGAAGTCAGACAGGATTGAAGGGAATGCACATCTCTGAGTTTAAAGCTATTTATTTGCATGTCAGTATTTGGAAGTCATACTTGAATGCACTGGCCTTCAGTACCTTCAGATTGCTGACTCAGGACTGCAGCAGGTAGGTCCCATATTATCTAGCATCTCAGCCAAGGTCCCACAAAAATCTATAACAGCAGGCTGAGAGGTATGTGTATAATCAGACTGAAGTCAATTTCTCATGTATGAATCCGTAAGAAGAGTTTTTGCTTGAGTTCTCAAGGCATTGATCACTAGAGTGGTCTTATCAAGAGAGAGACAAGAAAAAATAGCCTGTGCTGAGCAAAATAATTTAATGGAAGAGTTCCTCTTATTGGTGGAAAAAAAAATCTGATTGTCTCTGGACAACTGAATCATTAATTCAGTCATCGGCTTTTTAGTGGCTTCAGAGGCTCCATTACATATAGATAACACTGGGTATCACTAAGCCATTCAGGAAGGTGCAGCATGATACAGGGAAGTGCTTATATTGTCTCCAGCAGAGTTCTTCTGTAGTTTAGTCAATCTTTTTAATTTGCTTCCTGAAAAAAAAAATCAGTATCAAATTGTCTTGTGGCCACTTCAGCTAAAAATGAAGAAAGACTAAAAAAGTAAATTATCTAGTACTTGCACTTCTCCATCACTGGTGCCAATTGCAAGGCAAGTTCCTTCTTTTATCCAAGCCAGAGATGAAATGTATTTGGAACTGGAATTCAAATCAATGCTTTCAACGGCTTGAAGAGTTCCTCCATTCCAGATGTGTGCAGCAGGTCCTACAGCAATAGCAATGAGATTTTCAAGGCTCCAGTCCAGTATGTTTAGATCTGGAAGAAAGCTACTAAAAATTACTGAAAAAAAAGTTGTAGGTAATTGCATGGGGAGAGGGGGAGTATGGTTTGGTGGAGAGACGCTTTTTGTTTTTTAGTAGCTATGGAAAAACTTCAAGGGAATGCTTCTGTGAAACCATTAATAGCATATATTCCTTCTACATGAAGGAGAGTATCTTTAATAAGCCAAGGTCTTCATAAGGCTAATCTCCAGACTCATATGTTTGCACAGCAGGATCTGACTTACAGCTTCCTGACTAGAATTTTTTAATCTATCACCCTGTATTTTGGATTGCCACATCACTCACTCTAATTTCTATCACCAGAAATGAGGCTCCTCCACCAACAGCTACAGTTCCAAAAACACCCTTGTTCCAAGGTAATTCTTGTTATTGAGAAAGACATAGGAGGGAGTCTATATGCTACAGTCTGTCCTGCACCCTCAGGGTAATGATAACATTCACCCTGCACAAGACAGGAAAAACAAATGCAGAAAGGAATTAGGGAAATTCTGCTCCTCACCTTCAGAGCTTGCTCAGCAATCATATGATGGAAATACTGTTTTCCACCGTCCCTGTTGCTCTGTGCATTGCACTTGCAGATCCTGGCAAAGCAAGTCACTACAGCAATTAGCCTCAGAATAGCCTGCTGTGTCAGGTAGGCCAGAAGAAGCTGGTACACAACATTTAATATCAACCCAGGGCATTTCCCCATGTCAAGGAAAATCCTCAGCTGTCCATTTAGGGCAGCTTAAAAGTAATTTTGTATGACACCTGCAGCACAGAAGATTATTACCATAGGCTGAGTTCTGACATCATATTTCGGTAACTAAAATCACTCTGAAGAACAGCTGAATCTGTCAGTCAGCTGTTTGCCTACAGTCCTGGTTGTTGCAGCCAGAAATAAGTATTAAGAAATCACTTCCAAAGACTTCTGTTAGTGCTGTTAGTCTTGGGACATACCTTGTGCACAATCAGTGTAAATCATACAAACAAACCTTTGTCCTGTTCATAGATATAAATGAACACTTGTAAGGATATGTTGAAAAACCCTCCACAGTGACAAGTCGGAACACTTGCACATACGGAGTTGTTCATTACATCTTACAAAGTGTTAAAACATGTATTTGCTGCTGTAGAACAGAGATCCATGCATGTTCATGTGTAACTTGTGCATTTTTAATTTTTGCCTGTGCACCACCAAAGACGTGAAGAATTTAGTTCAGAAGGTATCTATCATCCAAATCATAAACAACATCACTGATGTCTCCCAAAATAAGAGAATTCAAAGTCTGCTCAATAAAGTTGCTGCTGTGTTGACCGGCTGCTAGATATCGAAGGCTGATAGCTGCAACATTTAACTTAATTAAGCAGAGGTAAATATATTGGTTTGATTTGAAAGTTACATTGAGATCTATAGCTGAAGGAAACTGCATGAGAGTTAGGTAGTATTGATTCTAGGGTTTGATCAGTTATGTCTCCATCCTAGGACAGGCATTTTTCAAAGATGCATCCTTATAAGAAGAATGACATCATGCATATGTCCTGCAGAGCTTCTGTTTTATGTGAAGGGGACACACCTTCATCATCCTTCTTGAAACATACATAAGAATTCCCAATCTCTGCAAAAACCACCACAAAGGAGAAATTAACTTACAGTAATCATTGCGCAAGCCAGTAATATGAAGCCTCACGTCTGGCTCCAACGGTATGGAAGGCTTCATGATGGTAACAGCTCTGAACTCATTCTGGGTCCCCCCTTGGCATCCTGTATTTGAAGATTCATCACAAACAAATCAGTAATGCAAAACACCACCAGTTTTTCTCAGGCCTAAGCCTTTCACATTCTCACTATATTTGTCTTTCCATGGTCCAGAAGAGGCCAGAAGGGTCTAATTTATCCTGGGTAGGCCCAAAACACTAGACACACTAAACTAGGTGAAAGCCACCTTTTACCACATCTTTCAAACCTCCACAGATTTACTCAGCTAGAACGGAGAATAGGATCCACTACATTTTGTTTAATTTGTACCACAGCTTAGTACAGAACATGCGGGTTTCGTCTTTTTCACCTTATTTTTCTGTCAAAAGCTGTTAGTAGCAGAACGTTTCATATGTGCTCTCCCACTTCAAACCCCCCCTCATACAGCAATTAATTTTTTTTCTTTCTGGTGTTAATTTCCCACCAAAAGGTCTCCCCCATCAATACCGAACCACAGGAAAAGGTTTTTAAAGCACATGCACTTTGATCACAGCACACTAAGCTTATGACAACAGATAAGCAAGAAACAAAAGCAAATACAAGTATGAGCAAGCAGAAGAGTCATCCTTTGTGGTCATTGGCTACATCATGCTGCAAGGACCCCCGAACATCATAGAAAAAAGCCAAATCATTAGCACTATGAATCATTTAATGATAGATTTTTATGTGTACAAAATTATCTTCCTGTAACGTGCAGAGCAGAAAGCTGGAGATTCACATTTCTGTACTTTTCTCTGTTCTTTTTCCTTTTTGAGTTATTCTCCAGAGAGGAGTATTTAGAACGAATATCAAAAGTTTCAGGGGCAGAAGATATTACTTACCTCTACAATTAACCTTCTCTGTTCAAAAAAAATTCAACACTGACAAAGTTTTTGTACTCTGTAACTGAAATACACACATAAACATCCTATATGGAAGTCCAATGACAAATTGTGGAGAACTTACTTCACACAGTCCTTCCCTACCCTGTCTTCAATCTTCTCCCCTAATCCAAAATTTGTTTCTGCCAGACAACAAATGTTTCCCCTCTCAGCTGTGGTACCCCCTCTCTCTCCAAATAAAAGACTGAAGATGAGCAAGAAGGCAGCCATAGTGATTTTCTTCTGTATCTAAAATGTTGTGGAGTTAAACAATTGAGCAGGCTTGCAGGAACGACCTTCCCAGACCTGCCCAATGGGATATGTAACACTGCATTTCAACACTAAAAAGGTCTAATATCACTGAAATGAGATTTCTCTGCATAGAAAAATCTGTATTTCTAATATCTAGATTTTTGGTTATTTTTTGAAAACTTTCCCAAACCTTTCTGAACCCAGCCAACTAAGATAATTCAGGAAACCTAAGGCACTTAATTTTAAGAATTGGATGAATGTCGACACTTCTGAAACACTCTGAAAATGTTTTTCTTCTTTAACATTGGTAGCTGGTATTGAGCAGTGAGATACAAAGGATGAAATCATCCCTGTAACTCATCTCAGATTTCTCTTCTCTTATGAGTAATTCATCTACCCCAAATTCATACTGATCATGCTTTCAGCTCTATTCATGTACTTCATAGACACATGAATGTACATAACAGGCTTTCTGATTAGTGGAAATTAATCTTCATTACACCATTTTGTGCTATTTTGCTTGAGTACTAGCAGATCTCACTGACTTTTGATAGGATTTTGGCTCTCACATGCTTGTGTCACTTCTCAAAATGAGACTCAGGAAGTGGTAAGCGGTCAGTACTGTCACACCAGACCACTTGATCAACAAGTAGGTGGGTGGAATAAAAACCAGTATTCCTGATACTTGTATTCATTTGCCATCAAGAAAAAAAACCACTGTGACTAATCCCTATACCGTTGCTATTGACTGCTCTGAAATGAGTCTTATTTGCATGGAGAGGAGCAACAAAGGAATATATAAATCTATCACATAGCCGAAAACTTCTTCTACAGGGGCTGAACTCCAGATTCATAAAGAAGCTGTTTCTCACTGTTTTCACATGAGCATGAATCAGGCCCTGACTGGCAAGAACCTGTCATACACAGAAATAGCCAGACCACCACAACAAATCATCTGTCTAAGACAGAACACAATAAAATATTGGTCTGATATTTAATGAACTGCCTCATACTCAAATAACTCTGGGAATAACTGTATTATTTCACAGGTTAGCTCGTCACATCCCACCTGTTTTCCAGTTGCCTGATCATTCACACTCCCTTATGCTCATTCATTCCTAGGATATCTTTTGGAGCAAATTAACCAACTCCCCCACAGAAGAAACCAGAGGCAGTGGTAGGGGCAGTCTAGTCCAGCTACCTTTCCCCACAGAGTCGTGCTACCTTTCCCTACAGGTAGGAGCAACAAGACCCCACCATATCTTCATGCCTTGTGCTCTCACGTACCCAACAGTCTATATGATACATATCCTGTGCCCATTCTACAGCACAACCCCACGTTATTTGCAGGGTTCTGAAACTGAAAATCCAAAAGGAAATTAATGTTTTAGGGCCACCAATGCATCAGATGGGGCCCAAGGGAGAGACAGGTAAAATAGCAGGGGTTAACCACACTGGAATAAGTGGAATATTATCTCTTCACAGGCAGTGGGAACTCTAGAAGTAGCCCCGAGCAGCACAGATCTCAGCCACTTTGTATTATTCTGTAACACTTGCTGGAACAGGTAGATGCACTTGCTTGTCCAGTAAAGATGCAGCCTGCTGTATCTTGCTGTTCAGTGTGCATGAGAATATTTGCTATATTGGAACATACCTTTCCAGATGCAATTGGTATTTTCACAGACCTTCATGTCACCACTTTCTGCAATGCTACACCCAACCTCCTGGACCGCTGGAAGCTGAGAAGGACGTTTCTGCCAATACATTGAAGTGAAAACATGACTGAATGAAGAAATCTGTCAAAAAACGTCTTTAAGCATCACGGATAACACAATTCCCATCAAAGGGCTCAACACTCATTACATAAAGACTTCAAAACAGTTTGGCTCTTAATGGAAGATCAGTAACAAATACAGAATACCAGTGTCCAAACCATGTGGTCTAACTTTAGCCACCATCCTTCCTTCCATAAAACACCAATTAACTGCTAATGATCACACAAACTTTTAAACAAAGCTGTTTGAATAAGGCCATCTTACCAGTGGAAGAGGTCCCAGGCCCTCTACATCTGTAGGCACTACCACAGGTCACCTGCCAAACCTTAGTGCCCTCTTGTCCTCTTCTGAATTGGCATTTGGGCTAATTTTACCAGCATACAATGCCATGTTTTCTGCACACAGAAAGTAAGTCTGATGCCTCAGGCTTGCTCTATGAGGGGAGATCAGTTTTGTGGTGCATACACTGCAGGGCCATTGATTCCAACATGTGACCTACTGGATGTCAGAGTCCTCTCTCAAACCAGGGTCCCAGAGCCTGGACTCCATGATCCCATTCCTTAAACCAGTATTACAATATGAAACTGAAAATATATACAAGGTGTCTCGGAGGAATAATATTTGTTTAAATTAATTACATTATCATTTCCTTGGGTGTCAAAGAAACAGATGATTCAGCAGACAAAGATAAGAAAAGGGAGATCTGAATTGTTATTGGAACTTTTTTCAAAAAAAAATTAGCTTAGGGCTTTAGCCAAGATTCAGGCAAAGGCTCAGATCAGCTCACACAGGATATGAATGTCTTCACCAATCCTAGCAATATGCATTTCTTCACAATGTTGAGTTGAATGCTCTGATGCCAGTTGTCTGTTTGAACTGTAATTATTTACAGTCAGGTGGAAATGCAGCTGATGTTTTTACCAGCCACTTAAGATTAGTATGTTCTTCCTCCAATGTCTGTGAAACCTATCCTTCCAAGCACACTCAGTGTTACTCTTCTTCAAAACCCCATTGCAATCACAATAAGAAATGTCTTACAAAAACATAGCTAGAGAAAAAAGTGTTCCTCCTTTATATATCACAGCTGTTCTACAGCAGGCTTTCAGCTTTGAGAGGCACTTTCTGTATGATTTATATAGACAACTTGGCAGAATGCTAATCAGATTGCTTGGATCTGTGTCCCGCTAAAACAAGTGCAGACATTTCTGTGGAAAACCGATTGTGCATACAAGGAAGTAATCTTTTGGCCCACAAAGAGACCACACATATTCACTGGAATGTGAGAAGATTTTCTTTCCAGTGCATCCCATCCCTTTATGCTACCAGGCAGCACAAATTAAATAGTCATTAATTACTGTATCTGAGAAGATTAATAGACTTTCACATGGTTTTAACCAAGACTGACTTCCAAATTTTTTTAGGAAGAACTTGGGTTTTGGTCATCCCACAATGTTATCTCAAAGACCCCCACATCACACTTGCAGGAATGGTTGTGGTCCTTCATGTAGAACTCTGAATATCTTAGTTCTAACTCAGCTCCTGCTTGTAAATTACAGTGTGATCTAGGTAAGTCTCTTCACTGTAGAGACGAAAGGCTGACACATGGAAGACTGACCGCTGGTTCATATTGGGACCAGTACTGTTTAGTATCTTCATCAATTATATAGACAGTGGGATCGAGCGCACTCTCAGCAAATTTGCAGACGACACCAAACTGAGTGGTGTGGTTGACATGTTAAGGGATGGGATGCCATTCAGATGGACCTGGACAAGCTCGAGAAGTGGGCCCATGTGAACCTGATGAGGTTCAACAAGGCCAAGTGCAAGGTCCTGCACCTTGCAGGTGCCCTGATATCAGGGCAACCCCCGATATCAGTACAGGCTGGGGGTGAAGGTATTGAGAGCAGCCCTGCGGAGAAGGACTTGGGGGTACTGGTGGATGAAAAGCTGGACATGAGCCAACAATGTGCACTCACAGCCCAGAAAGCCAACTGAATCCTGGGCTGCATCAAAAGAAGGGTGTCCAGCAGGTCAAGGGAGGTGATTCTGCCCCTCTACTCTGCTCTGGTGAGACCTCACCTGGAGCACTGCATCCAGCTCTGGAGCCCTCAGCACAAGAAGGACATGGACCTACTGGAGCAGGTCCAGAGGAGGACCACAAAAATGACCAGAGGGCTGGAGCACCTCTCTTATGAGGAAAGGCTAAGAGAGTTGGGGTTGTTCAGCCTGGAGAAGAGAATGCTGCAGGGTGGCCTTATTGCGGCCTTTCAGGACTTAAAGGGGGCTTATAAGAAAGATAGGGACAGACTTAGCGGGGACTGTTGCAATAGGACAGGGGGTAATGGTTTTAAACTAAAAGACGGTAGATTCAGACTAGACATAAGGAAGACATTTTTTACAATGAGGGTAGTGAAACACTGGAATAGGTTGCCCAGAGAGGTTGCAGATGCCCCAGTCCCTGGAAAGACAGAGCTCTGAGCAATGTGATCTAGTTGAAGATGTCCCTGCTCACTGCAGGGGTTTTGGAGTAGATGACCTTTAAAGGTGTCTTCCAACCCAAACCATTCTATGACTCTATGACTAAGAGTGAAGACAATGACATGTACTAATCTTTTAAAAGATGTTACATTTTAAGGAAGGAAGAATGTTGTACATACATTATTTTGTAGAAAGTTCTTATCGTCTCACAAAAAAGTTTTATTAAATTTCTATGTGGCGTAGATTCAACTAAGATTACTAAACCCATTGAGTTGTGTATTTTAACAATTCCAAAATTCAGACTCTCCAATCAGACAATGGAGGGGAGCAGGAAGGAAGAAAGCACTGTTGTTGAAAGGAGGATTTTACAGACTGTTTTGCTTATTCAGAAAGGAAAGTGATTGCCCAAGGACTAGGTTTCCTAGAATGATGTAAAACCATGGTCTTTTTCCAACATCCAATGACCTTCAAGACTACAATTATTACAACATACCAATCAACAAGCCTGTTAGCCCACCTGTTCTGACACTACCTCCTTTTCTTAGAAGTTGAGCTTGATACCCTCACAGAAACTTCTCAATAATATTAATTAAGGATTATAAACCACTATAAGCAAGGACATTGAGTATGCATCTCTGAAGCATCCTTACTCAACAGTTATGGCCAAAACAGTAATCACATGAAAACAGCTATCAGCATCTTCGGTACTGGCCTTGCAACTGGTGCAATCAAGGAAAGGCAAGCACAAGAAAAAGCATGGTCACTGACTAAAAGTTTACAACTTAATATAGGAACAGTCACAATTAGATAGCACTAAAATAGAGAGGTGATTTTGACTGTAATGTTATAGCAATAACTTTACTAATACAGACAAGTATCACCATGCTTCACATGAGAAGTCAATTTTCAAGAAGTTAGTGAACAGAAACAGGTGGATGGCTGGAGCAGAGATTTATTTAAGATGACCAAAGAGCAATGAATAATTCCTAAAAAGAAAAAAAAAAATTGGTGTGTCAGTGTCCGCTAGGAAAAATAAAGGAATAAAGTGTACAGCAATAGAAAACAACACCTAAATGGGAAGTGATCTGAAATCTTTGTTTCACATGTTAGGCAGATTCCATGTGTTCTTTCATCCTTGGCCAAGAATCTGACCTTCTATTGTCATGACAAAAAACTTTATTCTCCGAAAGCTACTTTGTGGCAAATTTGTCATAGCACTTTGTTCCGTCAACGTGACAAAATGAACAGTTACTTCCTGCACAACTGAAGAAATCATCTTCTTCACACATAGTGGTTATTAAGGCAAGTAGAAAACTGAGTCATTCATGCTTTTCATGCCTATTTTTGACAATATACGTTTTCCCTCAGAGGTAACAAATGTATCTTGAGGGCTCTGTTAGCTCAGTTTCAAATTTAGTTTGCAGAATGATAGCCTGGAGGAAGGGGAGAGAAGCTGAATCAAATAAATGACAAAGCAATTGCTCCTGACATTTCTCTAGCAAACACTTCTTAAACGGACCTCCTCTTGTTACTGTTCTCAATGTCAGTAAGGTACTATCCGGGTAACAGATTCCAGGCCAAAGATAAGGTAAAAAAACACATCAGGAAAGCAAATATCCTACCTGTGCATTTGAATGTCACATTACTCACCTGTTTCTCTTCCATTTCAGCTCTCCTGTTATTCCTCCCTTCCAGACCTGCTGCAGCATGACTGCTAGGTACAGTCACAACAGTTTTCATGATGGAGAGTTTCTTAGGCACCTGAGGTGTCACTGGAAAAACAACTTTAATGGAAACAATACCTTTAAAAAACATACACAGAGATATTTGTCAAGTACGTTTCAGAATAGCACTGATTTTGTAATAACAATACTCTAACAGCAGATCTGACACACTAAGTGGGACAATGCAAATACCAACATTTGAACCAGTCACCCTGCTTTTCTTTTGTCACTGAAGAGAAAGAGACATTTCTACAGCATTATTCATCTTATCCTGAAAGAGATGTCTAAAAAAGGTCAGATTGATCATTCCCTTTGTAAAGTGCCTGTTTACTACTGCAGCTCATATCCAGCCTTAGATTATTGACCTGATCCTACCCCACAGGAAATCAATATCTGATTTCCCAGAGCCATACAGGCTTTCACCACTGGTAGTAGAGCATGCAGGAGTTTCTGAAGTAGGGAAGACTTCACCTTGGCTTAGAACCTGAGCATCCTAGAGCTGGGCATGTGTTATTGAACAGTTCTGCTATTCCTCTTAGCAGAAGACAGAATTGCACTTTGTGCCCAACAGCCATGTCATTGTAGGAACACATCCTCAACACCAAACAGCATCTTTTATTTGCTCTCTAAAGATTTCAATTATTAATCAAGGACTGAGCCTTGTTTAGTTCCCTAGATCTTCCAGGAAGCTGCTCTTGTACATGTAGCATGTAAACCCTTCCCCACTTTCCTCTAGCACAGCTGGAAGTAGGAGTCAGTGAATTCAAAGGCTCGTTTAACCTTTCCTCAGCTCCCTGTGTTGTTGATGGAGAGAAACAGCCTCCCCTAGAGTCAGTTCCTCTCCAGACCAAGTCAGAGTACTGAAAGTCTGACCTGTGCTCTGAATGGCCCTCAGGTAAGTCTCTCCCAAAGGTGAGTGTGAGTGTCCCTTGGCTGCTGTCCCTTTGTCAATACCTGAAGCCTTAGGCATTGGAGGAGAGACAGTAACACAGGACAAGCTTCTCCTTCAGTGAGCATACGTTATACCACATCCAGGCATGCAGACCGGTCCAGGTTCTGCAGTCATGGCCAGGTCTGCAGTAGCTGTGTGTAAGGCAAAGGAGAAGCAGAAGGAAGGGGAGAGGCCTGTATGAATTCTCCTGCCCTCCTGTCAGTTACTGTTAACTATTCCAGATATGAAGATGCAGCAACAAACTCTCCGCACTGTTACAGCCCAGTGCAACTTAAACCCAGCCCAATACAGACCCCATCATAGAGGAAAAAAAGATTGGTCTGCATTGCTTGGCTGGGGATGAGACTTTATTTTCTCTCTCTCCTTTCACCCCCCCCCCCAGCCTTGATGTCAGCTGTCTGTATGACCTGCTGTCCTAGGCTGTCTGTGCGCTGCTAACAGGAACCTTGGGCCCAGCTTTCCTCTCACAACAGCAGTGTACTCCTGCTGAGAGGATGCTGGCCCTGAGCTTGCTCTGCCTGTGAAGGTCTGCACAGACTGCTGCTGCTGCACGCTGCCATAGCCAGAGCCCCCGACAACTGGGACACAGGGGAACACCAACCCACACCTTACACTGATTCCCCACTCTGGGTTATTTAGAAGTCCCTGCACGAGGCCATCCTCTATAGGAAAATGTTCCTTTGCATGCTGCCTGACCTGGAGCCTTCCCAGGTGTGCTGATGAGCCGCCCCGCG